TAATCGCGGGTGTATGGGCAGCGTGGGACCGCTTCTACTGTACGGTCGCACGAATTTCTTCTTCCGAGCATGCTGGAAAACCTGCCGAAAATGGTACGATTTTCGGTAGGTTGGTGATGTGCTCGGAAGACGAATGCCGCACGGGCCGGTGTCACTGCCCGCTCAGCACTGCAATCATCACAAGCCCTCCCCTCAGCGGGGAGGGCTTGCGATGATCGCAAGTACGATCTGCCTGTCCAAGATGGGCAGATTGTACGAAATTTTAATGTCCTTACAACCATCGCACAACGAAAGTCGTGCGATGGTTGTAAGGTGTATGGCCAGCCTTACACATGACTTCATATGCTGCTCTTGACTTAAAGAATATATATGACGACAGTTCCAATTTAAGGGATTGCACACAATACTGTTTTCCTGCCCCCCTGGAAGCGTTGCTTCGGGTAGTATAGCTGCCTGTGTGTTTTCACACGGTCTTGTTGGTAGAGAAAGTCATTGTAAAATAATCATTTATAAGGACGGTCCTGACAAAGACATGTGAGCTTATGTAAGAAAAAAATGCTGAGACGGCCGAACTAAGCCTATTGATTTTAAATGGGTGCAACCTGCTTACAGCCCACGGGAAATATTTCTTTTCTTGTGTAATAAGGGAGTTTACCGAAGACCTTCTGACACTTATAGGAGAAGACATAATCAATGACACCTTGTGATGTACAACCAGGAACAAGTCTGGTGGGTATTTGAGTCAGGAAATTCTGATCTGTCTTTACTGATGGAAAATGTCCTCAATAATAGGACAGTCCCTGGGAGCAGGGAGGGAGGGGTACGGATAAATGTACTTTCAGAGATAGGGGTGTGTATTTATAAAAAGTTCACAAAGCCATTTGTCCCGCTACATTGACATTCATTCTGCGTGAATAGAGCAAGATTGACCGGGTCATATTTACAAGACACCATTCACACTGAGCGACATATATATCGCACGTTTTTCAGCGCCATTTCGCGCTGAGCGGCTTTGAGCTACATTGCGCGATATTGAGCGACAGTGCACATTTCATCGTGCTACGTAGCGCGTTTTTTGGGTGGGACTTTGTCAATGCTACATTGGGCTGTAGCCAATCAACAGCGATCTTGATATGACATAATTCTTTCCTACCATTTTGTAGTGCAAAGTGACCCTTCTGTAGCGCGATAAACCGCTCAGTGTGAACGGAGCCAAAAAGGTGAAGAGTTTGGAGAAGGCAGGAGAAGTGAACAATCTAGGACAACATAGCTGTACTGGAAAGTGAGCTGAATTGAGGATTTTTTTTTTTTAATCGGCTATTTTGGCCTAGATTGTGCACTTCTCCAAACTCTTCACCCTTTTGTGAATAATCCTGTGAATGTTTATTGTGCAGAACGAATGTAATAGTTGGAAAATACCACGTTATGGCCACTAGATGTGGCTGAGGAGTATTTAGTTCCTATGCACCTTATGGCCACTAGATAAAACTGGAGTATTTATTTCCTATGCTTCTTTTGGCCACTAGATGAAGCTGAGGAGTATTTAGTTCCTATGCTCCTTTTGGCCACTAGATGAAGCTGAGGAGTATTTAGTTCCTATGCTCCTTTTGGCCACTAGATGAAGCTGAGGAGTATTTAGTTCCTACGCTCCTTATGGCCACTAGATGGATCTGAGGAGTATTTAGTTCCTATGCTCATTATGGCCACTAGATGGATCTGAGGAGTATTTAGTTCCTACGCTCCTTATGGCCACTAGTTTGAACTAGGGAGTATTTCTTTCCTATGCTCCTTATGGCCACTAGATGGATCTGAGGAGTATTTATTTCCTAAGCTCCTTATGGCCACTAGATAAAACTGGAGTATTTATTTTCTTATGCTCCTTATGGCCACTAGTTTGAGCTAGGAAGTCTTTATTTCCTATGCTCCTTATGGCCACTAGATGGAGCTGAGGAATATTTATTGCCTATGCTCCTCAGCTCCATCTAGTGGCCATAATGGAAAATTACATTCATTCTGAACAAGAAAACATTGGATTTTGCCCTATTCCCACAGAACAAATGTAAATGTCATCTTTTAAGAACAAATGGATCTGCAGACTTTTTTAAATAAACCAAGTTGTGTACTTACCAGAGGTCCCATTCATTCCTAAGGATGAGCCGCAGTCATGGTGGCCTTCAGCCAGTTATGTCATTACTGGGTTTTTGTGCGTCTCTATGTAATGCAGGTAAACCACACTAGGTAACACACACATGTGATGCTGAGCTTCCATGATTCAAAGAACTAAAATTCAATTAAATGAAAAGAGCGGGCCAGGGACAGTCAGGCTGGGGAGGAAAGCGTCTCCAGCCAGGAAATGAGGGGGGCTTTGGGGATTTTATCAAAACTGGAACAGACAAAATCTGGAGCAGATTTGCACGGCAGCCAATCAGCTTCTGTCTCTCATCTTCAAATCTCAACTGAGCAAACTAAAGAGGTGCTGATTGGTTGCCATGGGTAACTGCTCCAGTTTCTGTCTGCTCCAGTTTTAATAAATTCCTCCCAGCTGTCTCTGACTTGCTACAGCTTCTAAAGAACATTTTTCTTTTTGCAATAAGGACACATTCTTTGTTATAATTATAATTATTTGTATTTATTTTGCAAAAAGTAGAGTATCCCTTTAATGCTCTCTCCTCCTCTCCAAAACTGGAAACGTTTTGGATTGAGATGGGCTGTAAACGTGCCATTGGGTATGTGCAGGTTCACCCGTCCCAGGTTTAGTGGTTGGACATCGCCATCTTGTGGTGGAATTAGAGAACTACACCTGAAATACTGGAAGAATGCGAAGCATGTGGCTGTTGAGCGTCACATAGTTTTCTGCCTTGTTTAAGAAGACATCTCCACACAAGAGACACATTCCGGGGGTTACATCTATATGTTCTGTGTGTAAACTAACAATCGAGCATCAGGTGGCACTGAGGTGTGAGCAATAGCCACAATAGAGCAAGTGGAAGGATATGTGATTTATGTTCCAAGCCTCACTGAATTACAGCGTAACTATAACACAGCGGAGGTCATCCTTATAGGTTACAGTGAATGTGTTGGAGTAATCAGCTCTGGGGAGGCTTACCTAATAAATGACTGTGGTGAAGCTCTCTTGACATCAGAGAAGAGTTTGTGAATATTTATAATGATATATGAGCTAAAATTGATATTTATTTTTTTGGGGCTGTCTGTACTCATCAGCAATATGTCTGCATATTACCAGTGGCGTCACAAGTGGGGTGCGGCCCACACCCGGGTGACACCATTGGAGGGGTGACACCAAAATGACTGACAGCCATGTTGGTGTCTCCCCCTCTGAAAAGTTAGGCACTCAGTCATGGACCGAGAGCCCGACAGTTTCGGGAGAGAGGAGGGGATCCAGTGGCATAACTCATCCCACCTCGTGACTGTCCCCTCCTCTCTCTGCCGGTGTGCATCACCAAGATGGCCGCCGGCAGTTATCTATAAGATCGCCGCGGATGCGTGATGACGTCATCACGCACACGCGTGGTGACGTCACACACATGCGCGATGATTTCACGGTGGGGTGTCACCCAGAAACCACTCCGGGTGACCCCCGGCCTCGGGACACCCCTGCATATTACACTTCTGTCATCCCCAGAACACCTGTTGACATTTCAAATCAGTCTCACACTGGTAGATAAATGGCTATTGCGTAAAATTTTGGACAGGGCTGTCCCTATAATTGCCTCAGGCAGCCTCCTTTTGCGCCACGTGGAGGGGCAGCAGGCAGAGCGGCATGGCTACTCTGCTGAACAGTGTTTCCGTGCTCCTTTAAAGCTGTCTGTATTGACACAATGCACATCATTTCACAAAGAAGGCAACATTTAGGGGCCATTGTGGGTCCCTTCATCAGGATCAGGTCATACTGAGAGTGGCCTTGAGACGTTGCCTTCTTTGTGACATGATGCGCATGCATCAATGAAGACCTTTTTGGACATTCTACTCTGGTGTGCTGGTGACATACTCAGAGTTATTCACTAAATGGTGAAGAGTTTGGAGAAGGCAGGAGAAGTGAACAATCTAGGACAACATAGCTGACCTGGAAAGTGAACTGAATTGGAGAATTATTCCAAATCAGCGATGTTGTTCTAGATTGTTCACTTCTCCTGCCTTCTCCAAACTCTTCACCCTTTAGTGAATAACCCTTACTGTGTCTACTTGGATTATAGCAGCACCATCCACAGCCACTTCAGCACCCATCTTCAAGGGGCATACTGGTAAGGAGTGTAGTGGGATACCTATTGGACTTGTTGATCTTCTTGTTCTGATGACAGCTATCTAGGCTTTCTATCTACCGTTTTCCCCCGAAAATAAGACACTGTCTTATATATTTTTTTGGTTTAAAAAACACACTAGGTCTCATTTACGGGGTAGGTCTTACCATACCATAATACCGGGAGAAGACTTAGAAGACAGGAGTGAGTGGCAAAGTTAAGAATAGGGTAATCAGGGGTGCCGTACCTTTCCAAGAGCAATTTGGTAACCAATCACTGTCCAGAATGATCGAAACGCACTTTCACTATCGATTCCTCATAGGCGGAGTGCTTTGATATCACTAGGCTTGTTACAGGAGCCGGCGCTATAGAGGCGACATCGGCTTCTGCGGCTCTGCTCCCTCCGCTGCCGCCTCGCTTCCTCTAGCGCTGGCTTCGTTGGCACAGCTGATTCTCTCCCCGGCTCTTCAAGTTCCTCCTTATGCCACCACCAGCCCTGGGAACGGTCACAACTAGGTCTTATTTTCGGGGTAGGTCTTATTTTTGGGGAAACAGGGTTTTGCCCACTTTAGAGAGAGTTCTTGTTGGACTTCCAGAAAATAGTTAAAGTGAAATCTCCCCAATGGGACACAGATAGAGAAAAAGAAAAACTTGACATGGGATATAAAATAAAAAAACAAATGAAAAAAACTATCTCTGCAATAACTAATGGTGTTCATTATTTTTGTTCTTTCTTTGCAGCACTGGTGGCAGCCATGGTCAGGATGCGATTTAATGCCTCGGTGGCTACCGGACTCTTGTTGCTTCAGACGGTATTCCTGCTCGTTCTGTACTCTAGACAGAACATATCTCTATCAAGGATGGAGGACAAGGAAAAAGTCCACCTACTCATTCTCTCCTCCTGGAGGTCGGGGTCGTCCTTTGTTGGCCAAATCTTCAGCCAGCATCCAGACGTGTTCTACTTAATGGAACCTGCTTGGCATGTGTGGGTGTCAATGTTCCAGAACAGTGCTAAAGTTCTTCACATGGCAGTCAGAGACCTGGTGCGGTCTGTGTTTCTGTGTGACATGTCCGTGTTTGATGCCTACATGCCAAGGGAGCGCAATGTTTCTTCCCTGTTCCAGTGGGCCACCAGCAGGGCGCTGTGCACAGCGCCGGCCTGCAACTTCTTTGGCCGCGATGAAATCACGAACGAGTCGTCTTGTAGGACCCTATGTGGGAAATACCCCTTTGACAATGTGGAACAGGCGTGCAATATCTACAGTCACGTCGTTATAAAGGAGGTCCGCTTCTTTGACTTGAAGGTCCTCTATCCTCTCCTCACCGATCCTTCACTGAACTTAAGGATAATCCATCTGGTGCGGGATCCAAGAGCCGTGGTCAAATCCCGGGAACAGTCAATGAAGGCTTTGATCAGAGACAATGGGATCGTCCTCAACACAAATGGAACCAAAGTAGACGACAGCAAGTATGAAGTCATCCAACAGATCTGCCGAAGTCACGTGCAGATGTTCGAAACGGCCACCTTGAAGGCTCCCAGCTTCCTTAAAGACCGGTACATGTTGGTCAGGTACGAAGACGTGGTCCGAGACCCTTTGAGGGAAATCAAGCAAATGTATCATTTTGCTCATTTACAACTGACGGACAAGCTTAGGAAATGGATCCACGAGATCACGCATGGGCGAAGCCCCGGAAACAAGAAGGAAGCCTTCCTGATAACGTCTCGCAACGCCTTTAACGTGTCTCAAGCCTGGAGGAAAGTGCTTCCCTTTGAGAAAGTGAAGACGATCCAAGACGTTTGCAAAGGGGCCATGAACATGCTTGGTTACCTCCCTGTAGAGTCAGCGGCGGAACAGGAAAACTTGTCCATGGATGTCGTTGTACCCAGGAAACACTACCAATTCAGCTGGCTATAACCTAAACATAACAAGGGAACTTGGCACTTTTCAAGGCTTTAATATTTTTGTTATTTATTAAATTTCCTTCTGTGAACTGTGAAAGCAAAAAGTGTACATAACAATGGGAACTTTTTTATTGACTCGTTTGGAAATGAAAAAAAACCCAATACGAAACTTGCTTGTAGATACACGAAAATGAGGATAACTACAGGAAAGCATTTATCATTCTTAAAGTGACCCATGCCAATTCTTTTACCATCCCATCTGTAATGCTCTGGACTACAAATCCCAGAGACGTAAAGCTTATCCCAAGGATGAGCCCAGGTGTAAAGCTTGGCAAAACTTTCATTTCTATTTTGTTGTCTGTTCTTGCAGTAAAGCTCACGGAGACTGACTCAGTAGCATTTAAAAGTCCTTTACTTGGCGAAAACGCAACGTTTACAAACTTAGTTACAGGAAAACCAAATATAAACAAACATACAGGCTGCTACAAACAAACAATCACATGCACCCCCTACACTATATTTCTAGTACATGTAATGCTTTCTAAGAGACAAAACACTGAAATAGTACTTAGCTCAAGCTGCAGGTTCCGTAAATTCCGTAATGAACAGGACTTTTTGTCACTTAGGCGTTCGCAGGAAAATGGCTTCTCGTTGCAGGCTCTGCTAGATCCTGTGTTTAGAGTCCGGTCCTCCCTTGGTCAGAGTGATGTCCTCTCGTAAAGTCCCCCTTTTGTGTAGTCCTGCTGAACCTTTGGCTACTGGCTTTTTATTGAGAGAAAGTGGCCTCCCACTTGTGAGTGTTGCCCCTTAAAACTTTTATAAAAGTGAAATACCATGCATTTCACTTTCCCACCTCTAGGTGGCAGCAAAGCATCAAGAATTGCCATCAGTAGTATTTGATTTGAGTCCTGACCAACCTAGGTGTGATTGTTTACACAAGGCTTCCACATAACCCCATCCCATTGTGATACGAATAATGGGGAAACAATACAGGGCAGCCACACCATTGTAAAAAAAACAGTTTGGTCTGTTTAGAAGGCACCGTCCATTGTGAGAAACTAGCTCGCTGTCAGCAAACAAACAGAACCTACGTCTCTATTGCAAATCTGTGTGTCTGAAACATCCATTAAAATTCTCAAATATATATATATTAGGGATGCACCGATACCGGTATTTTGGTACCGAGTACGAGTACCGAACCGGGGCAAAGGAAGAAAAAAGAAAGGGAAGGCAGATATGGGTGAAGTGGATTTTTATACAGAGTTTCACTGCTGGGACTGTTCACGAGATAGAGGGATATGATCATCAAAGAGCTTACAGCACTCTCTGTCTATGCACCGGTGCTCTTGAAGGGGATAGCAAGAGGAATGGCGTGGGTCGCTTTTATCAAAAGAATTGTTGATTAATAATGTACAAAGCTCAGAGATGGTTTTAGTTTTTTATTTGTTGACCTGGGAAATGCATTTATTTTCTGGTAAATATGTCTTAAAATAAAATAAATGAAATGTGAGTACTTTGTGGAATATGCTCTGAATTACCGATGTGTTTGTAACATGCAGAACAATTCCAGAGAGCTAATGAAATGAATCTTCAAACTGCTTATTCGGTTGATGAAACGCTGGAGCTGTGCTGAAATAAAACCAAAAACCCTGGAGCTCTTTCTTGGAATTTATAATTGTGTTACTGGAAATGGAACCGCAACTTCATTCATTTATAGATTCTGTCCTGTTGGAATTGGACCAAAGCCCTAATTTGGAACCACCAAACACTCTGGCGCAGTCTTCAGGGTGAGCTCTATCCCCAAGACAAGCAGCAGAGGCCACAAGGCCTGTTACAGGAGTCAGTCTAATGATTGTAACAACATCCAGATAATCATTAGACTGAGATCTAGATCTGAATCCTTTTCTGGGTCAGTGATTCAGACATAACGAAGGGTGGTCAGTGTGGGTGAGCCTAAAAGCCGAGCACCTAGAATTTTCAGAAGGAGGTCAGGTCAGGTCTCTACTTTTAAAGCTGAACTCCAGGCACACAGACTTGTATTGCAATATATTCCTCAGCAGCCATGTTGTGTGCACCATATCCCTTTGTATGCAGTGACATCATTACTCTGCTGTGCATAGCCTGTGCATAGAGCAGAGCTGTGGGAGTGGTTCAGCAGGCTCCACCTACTACAGCCAGCCTGCAGAAAACTAAAGGAGAGGGCGGAGGCAGGACCAGTCACCCTGCACCAGGAGAGAGAGCAGCAGTGAGCAGTCTTATTACAGGAGGTGCAGAGACAAGACCAGTCACCCTGCACAAGTAGAGAGAGCAGCAGTGACCGGTCTTTATTACAGGAGGGGGTGGAGACAACACCAGTCACCCTGCACAAGTAGAGAGAGCAGCAGTGAGCGGTCTTTTTTACAGGAGGGGGTGGAGACAAGACCAGTCACCCTGCACAAGGAGAGAGAGAGAGCAGCAGTGACCGGTCTTTATTACAGGAGGCTTGGAAACATTATCATATTTGACCGCCTTAAATACCGCCAATTCATTCATCTGCTGTATCCTGATGTCTGATGTACAGAATAAAGCACCATTGTGGATGGAAAAGGTATTTGGTGAGTTCAGCTATCTGATAAGGATTGTCCGCAGTGATTATATCTGCTTATACAGGCCAGGCATAGAGGTCTCAGCAAGGGGTAAATCGCTAATACAACAATCGGAGTCAAAATAAGTAGAACATGTTCAGCCAAGTTCGATACAAATTGGAAGCCATGATTAGACGCTATCAGAGCTTAAGCTCCATATATATTGTATACGAGTGATGTGAGGCTGATTGCAGGTCAGATTTAGGTACTTACACCGCTTACATGTAATGAAGTATTAATGAATACCAAGCTGCATTAATGTGTACCTTTTATATCTCCTTGGAGTTTAGCTATAAATACATCTGCTAATAAAAGCCCTGCAAAGAAAACAGTAATTATTATCTCTCCTACCGCCCGTGCTGCCGAACGGCGCTCTGATGAAAAGAAATAGCTGCCTATGTTCCCTTCAGAAACGGACAATCCCTGAAATATCAGATTTTTGCACCCCAACTCAGTGGTTACTCCAGCCACCCCCTATGGCACTGCTGTGTGGAATGCAATCTTACTTGGTAGTAAGCTGGAGGAACCACTGGGCACAAGGGGGGCAGGAACTTTGATATTCCAGGAATTGTGGTTTTGTATAGAGATTTCGGGCAGCTATATATATATATTGATCAGAGCATTGTTCCATGCTGCAGGTGGCAGGAGATATTTGTTACTGTCTTTGCATCTTTTATTATCAGTTTTATTTAAAGCAGAACTCCAGTTTGCAGAAATATAAATTGTTTTATGTATGCCCCGTGCATGCTGTGCAGCTTTCCGCCCTTTTTAAACATTCATCTGTAGTTTTCTACCTTAAAAATTGAAACTGGCTCTATGGAAGTTGTGTGCACCACACGAGACAGATCAACTTTCATGTACACCCCCTAAAGCCCAAGGTGCGTGAAAAACAGCCTAAGGCCCCATTCACACCAGGGCAGATGCGTTTCAAGTATTTTCAAAGGGTGGTTTTGGGTGTTTTTAATCACGTTTCAGCGCTGAAACGCAATAAAAAACACCCAAAAACATTCTATATGGAATCTCCGCTGATCAGTGCAGAAAAAAAAGGCTCAGAGCATTTTGGGCGGCAGGCGGTTTGGATCACGCAAAGCCGCGCGATTACATGAACGGTCCCCATTGGAATGTATGGGATCGTTCATGTCGGCAATTCAGCGCGGACAAATCCGCACGACCGAACCGCCCTGGTGTGAACGGGGCCAAAAGCTGGCTTTACAGCTTACGATTTTTCTCCTTTAGCACCGCAGGTTGAATGAGAGAAATCACACGGTGACCCCATGCATGCTACAAAGTGCGGGTGAAGGAATCCCCTCTGCCGGTTATTGTATTCTGTGAGCTGGTGCTCACAGCTGTCACAATACCTGAACAGTGACTGCATTGGATTGGCTGCAGTTATTGTTCAGCTGACAGTTTTCCACCCGGCTCCTTTGACAACAGCTGAAATTTTAACTTTTGTCGGGCTGGGTGGTGCCGGCAGGGTCACCCACGAGTCCAATTTCGGCCAATTTAGCAGGGAATGGATGAAATTTAAAGTGTGTATGGCCAGCTTAAGAAAGTAATTGGGTCTCTATGTAGACTGGCCATCTGCAGACAGGATGTGGGCATGCTGCAATGCCCTTCATATGCCCCCATGTTAAATGTGAAAGCCCTTCTTAAGAGTTGGTACCACAAGGTTTCCCCTTTTAACGGGAAACTCTGATACTGTTTTAGCCTGCCGGGGCCAACTCTTGACAGGATCCCAAGTTTACAATGGCTCTCTGAAGAGATTTCACTTCACCAGGGATCCCAACCTGAAATAAGTTGTTTCAGGGAGGTGCCCTTCTCATTTCGGGGTGGGGAGGGGGGGGGGGGGGGG